GACTACGGTTATTGAGATGAGTTTAAGAAAATGCGATTGTTTGAGGTAAGATGGCACAAATTCAGTTGAGGGAGTGAAAAAGTGAGCCAAGAAACTTCGTAAGGGACGTAGCATGCACTGAAATGCAAAAGAAGAGTTTAAGAATGCCAAAAGGACTGGAAACAAGCGGTAATAAAAATATGCCTCTGAGGTGCTTTTCGCCTTTTTTCAAATTCCGGATATTCCAATACGCAAGCAAGTGAAAGCAAATTCCCCTCTTTGGCAGAAAAGGTCTTAAAAAATAAACTGTCAGCTTAAGCAGCAGCAAAAAGGCATTGCTAATTCCATCTAACATTTATTCTGTCCTTTGACACCTTTTGTATTATTGCGCCGCAATTTCTTTATTACTTTGAAGCTTCAATAAAAGAGGCCTCCAAGCTTAAAACAGACACAAAGTATTGTCGAAGTTCCTGTGCCGTTATTTCATTTACGCACAGCAGCACTGTAAATATTCGCTCTCCGGACTTCAGCTCGCAGCACCGAATTTCACTGCTCGTTGCGAATTTGAAAATAGCTTGAAAGCTTTATTTCGTGGCTCACAGAAGGTATTTTTACAGTGCACAACGAACTGCAAAACTAGGTGCTGAATACAGTGAGACCAAAATTTGGACCAATATTTTTTTAAACAAAAAAGACGTTGTTAATTATTTATGCTTGAGAGGGGCCTCAGAACGTGGGAACTTTGTAGTTTTTTTAAGTTTAGTGCAACAATGTTGAAACTGGAAAGAATTAAATACTTTTAGCCGTCAAATGAAAATAACTGTACAAGAACGATGAAAATTCTGGAAAATCACAGAAAGTCAGTTGAACAGAATTCAATGAAACCGGGCTAGCTTTGCTAACATTACCACACAAATTTATGCGTATATCTCCATTCTACGGATATCAACGTAAATGTGGCTCCTACAATGATTGTTGGAGACAAGAATGAAATCTGAAAAGCAAACTAGAAGGAATTTCGGATGTCACAGAAAGTTGATTAGTGTAGCTAATGCTGTTTTTGTCTTACGTAGGGATTCAGAACAAATGTTAAGAGAAAATGATTATTTTCAAAAAGTACTGTTCGCCAACAACAGCGCCATTACAAGATGGTCCCAGTGCCACAAAACTCTGCATGTGCACCAGAAAGGCACAAACTAAGCAATGCCGTCTAAGGGTTAACAGCTCGCAGTAGCCGCACAAGGCTGGCTGGGAATTTTCAAAATTGAGGAAAAATCAAATTTTCTCTAGGAAAAAATTTGATGAAGCAGCTGCGTCTCGCGCGCCTCTCAGTTTCTTTCTAAATAGCGAAGTGCCGGAGTGTCCCACTAAGGAAAAAGGATTCGGTGAATCAGACTGACGGCGATGGTGGCAGTGGCGTTGAAGGCATCGGCCGGTGTGCCCCAAATGAAATTTCCATAATCACTTTAGAACAAACAAAGTAAAGTAATAAAAGAGAAGGAAGAGGAGAAGGAGAAGGAAGAGAAGGCGAAGGAGGACACATACCATAAAATATACTCAATTAGGAGCCCTCTTCCTCCGTTTCTACAGCTTAGTGCCTAACAAATTATGATAAATTAGCACATTTCCCGTTTCTGCTGCTTCTTTCAAGTAAGAAGTACGCAGAACAGAAACAACACTTCACTCAGTTGCCCAGTTGTTAGCTTCTGAGCAGCCAGCTCAGCCGAAGTACCAACATCTTTCAAAGCGCACCTACTTGCCTAAGCGCTTACGGCTGATCCAGGTAAAATAAAAGCGGCTTTTTCAGCAAAACCGAAAGTAATGCTTTTCCCTGCCCTGTAATCTGTATTCCTCAGCTTGAACTATTTCAGATGACTTTGATTCCAAATTCTGACCACAGTAATCAAAGGAGCTTGAAACACAGTGAGTTTTCAAAAAAAAAAAA